TCCAATCATCTCACGCAACTTTTCCGCCAAGCCCTGATTGGCAGCAACCATTTTGTCGCCATCCGAGTGGAAAAGGTTTTCGTCGGCCTGCAGGCTGGGGCGGGCCCCGTCATTTTCGCAGCACGCATCAGGGCCCCACGCGAAAACTATCCGACGATGGACTGTGCCATTTTCCACGAAACATCAAATCTAATGCCACTTCCCCACGACTGTTTCACCCCTCCTGGCGGATCACATGGTCAAAGACCTTCATTGCTGCATTCTCCTCGCCGATTTCTCGGAAACATGTGGCCATCCTCAAGTGGTCCAGCGGCATCCACTATGGTGTCGACACCATATGCTCATCTGGGTATGTTCTTTAACTTGCACAGGACTCGTGGATTCTATGGGATGGAAAAGTGACCAGCTTGCTACCATTTAAATCAGATAAGTCCTACGCATGACTATGCAAAAAGGTGTGAAATCAATTACGATTCTGAAGACGTTCCAATGCTTTGTGATCGCCGCAGTCCACGTGTTTGCGATATGGAATCGCCACAAGCTAAGCACGCGGCGCATGATTCATCCCCTGCATGTATGTCAGGGTCTCCTCACCCTCAAGCCATTTGATCCTTGGATGAATCAACTCACGTGACCCAGGATCGCTGCAGTTGATAAGAAGCAAAGCTCATAGCTAGGGCTTAGCTGAGCCAGGAATGCTCTGGAAGCTGCTGCCAAGATTTGAGAAACACCACAAAAGGTAATGCTGCTTCTGTGCCCACGTCTCTAGGGCATCGAGAAAGGCCCCAGACGACATGAAATATCATCAGACGATGACAAAGAACGGATTCCTTTGAAGTTAAAATGGATTCCTTGTAGATCCTTGTAGAACTTCTTTCGTCTCGAGATGGCCTTCTTCACAAATAAAACAAGTACTTAGATCTCTAGCGGATCCATGTAAAACCCTTGCTGGCCACCACATACCGGCATCTAAGATGATGGCGCACAAAACTTGAAAATGTGCGCTAAACCTTTCCCAAATAAACACATATATTCATAAGGCTTCAAAGAAGCTTACAGGATAGGATCGATCCTTACCTGGTTTGAAGCCCTTGTAATGTTGAGATCACAGCGTGTTTATATCATAATATGTACATGTATGTGTGCATGTGTGCAAAACAACATGATGATATCGTATCTCTTCACCCATTGTTCTTTCCACACTCTGAGCTGGTGTTGATGGTGTGCCGCTTATTGGTTTATTGGTTCCCCCAAGAAGGATTGACTGGGCTCCTCTGGTACCCCTTGGTTGATCCCTACAGGCCCTACCACCCGTATCTCCAATGACCAGGTCATTGTGGCTCCTCAGCGTCCTTCCACCAGGTCGACAATGGGTCCAAGTGTCATCAAATCAGTCACCTGCTGTCGCCTGTGTGCCACTTCCTTCTCCGGAGCCTGGTGGCCAAACAACATCTCAGAGTATGTCCTGCCAAGGCTGCTGCTGATGCTGAGCTCGTGCTGAGCTCATTCATGCTCCTAAGGTCGTTTCTATGTGTTTGTGTTGGTGTCAAGCTGGCAGAAGGATTGCACTTGTCAAAGCCAAATTAAATGAATCTCCATACCAACATCTAACTAACTGCTGTCTTATGTCTTGGTTATCCGTCGCAACAGTCCTGGCCATATCCATCTCCACTTGGTGGTGGATTTCTTCTGAAACCACTTGGTTCTTCGCAACAACCGCATCCGGCCTGCATTTGCAAGCAAGGAAACAAGGATGGGAGAGGTAGCTGTGAGTAGCCAATGATGTGCCCAAACTCCGAGACTTTGCCCTCTTACTAATTGCACAAAGCCGCCCAAAATGCCACACCTTACCAAGTAGCAAGCAACACGTGAGGCTAGATGGAAAATGCAATGTCTATGCATGACGTGCCCGAACCTGTCAAACTTCTTTGCGGCCACGGCAGCGGCAAGCCACTCGTCAGCTCGCGCTGCACCCGTCATTGTGAGACACTTGTTGTGTGAGACGTCAAGGTTGTCTCAACGTGGAACCCACTGCAGCCAAAATTTTGCCAGCGGTAGAACCACACAGATTACCCGCGATGCCACATGAAAACCTAGAACACAAATGACAGGATCATAAAAACCGTGACAAATTGATTCTTTCGGCAACAAAATTGCTGCATTGCTTAGACTCCAATTGGACCTCCATTGAAACACAGCCGTTGCCATCTGTTGCCCACAGCCTGGCGCACCACTCGATCTTGGAGCCTTGGGTAAGATGCAAACATTCTGGAACACAGTTTCAAAAGAAGGGGAAAATATTCAAAAAAACAACATTTTTGTTGATTGACAGTTGGACACAAGACATGGTCTGGCCACTCCTACAGTCAACAGCCCTTTGAGCATCGCACATTGGCCCAACAACACGTTTCTGCACCTTTTCCGCCTGGCACCATGGTGCTCCTACTACAAGTTGCTCAAAAAAATTGTCAATGTAGAGCTGCAGAGCTTTACCTTCCGTAGCAAAATGACAAGAAGAGATATCATGGAAAAGGACCCCGTCCTGTCCCTGTTCCCAAAGCCTGGGTCAGGATGTTTTGCAGCGCTGCATCACTAATCTCCAGGGCAGCATTTTGCAAGGTGTCCTCAACTTCCGGTATATGCTTGACTTTCACCCAGGTTGCTCTAGTATGTCAACCCCACTGATTTTCTTTCAGTACCAGCATAAATAACTAATCACTGGCCTGAAACACAACATGATTGAATTCGGTGTAGGACAAACGAAAAGGAACCAAACACAAGGTCCCAACAAGGTCACAAGCCATGAGAAGACCGTCAATGCTTAAGTCATGGTCTCCCGACTTGTGTGTGGTACCCTCCGTTTTCAGGAGTTTGTTTCTTACTCAGTTCGCTGGGGGCACGGCGGCCGTTCACTTAGCCACGCTAACAAAGCTATGGTGTTCGGCTGGAAGAGATACTGGACACGGTATCTTTTACCCGCAAATTTTGAATAGTAGTCACACTCAAACATTGTTGTTTTTTGAGCTGACCTTTCACCTTTCCGTTCCATCTTTCCTTTCCTCGGGGAACAGAGTTAACTGAAAACCCAATGACTAAGTGTGTATCTCTGTGTCTTGATCCTGGGTACGCAGTGTGATCCCCCGCAAGGGGGCGCTGAAGCCATCGTGAATCACGTTTCGCTCACTCGAAGTGCCGCCACCGTCGATTCTGGTTTGATTTTTGGCCTCACCCATGAATCAACTGATCGCACAGTGGCCGCGCTTACGGACAGAATGCTGCCAGGCTTGTGGAGGAGCCCCCGCCCCCTCTTCTCTATCCTCCCCCGTCTAATTAGGGTAACACAAGGAAATGACATGGTACTCGACACACTTGTGCGTCGGTGCCTTTCCTTCTGTTGTCCCTATTCTAGTCTACTCTACCCAGGCGGTCTAAGACTAAAGTCCCGCTCCCTAACTATTGCACGTAATTAACGGCTGCTAAGTATTCAGTAACTAGAGTGCTAAGTATTCAGACACACACATGTACACACACGCACATGGACATACACCCCCTCCCTGCCCCCCGCTTTCTCTCTTGCGCTGTCTTCGTTTTCTAGGTTTTCTTTCAGGCTTGTTAGGTGGTTCTTGAGGCACGTTTCCCTCCCCCTCTTCAGTCAAGGGCTAAGTCGTCAAGTGCTAACTAGTCACTTTTTTCCGCTACTCCTACCTTTCCTTCTTGCCCTTTTCGTTTAGCTCTTTCTGTCTTTTTCTTTCCTAAGGCTTTTTAGGTGACTATTCAGGTTCTGCGAGAGAGCGCCGCGAAGCGGCCGAGTGTGTGTGTGTGTGTGTGTTACCCTCCGTTTTCAGGAGTTTGTTTCTTCCTCAGTTCGCAGGGGCACGGCGGCCGTTCACTTAGCGGCGCTAACAAAGCTATGGTGTTCGGCTGGAAGAGATACTGGACGCAGTATCTTGTACCTGCAATTTTTCTATAGTAGTCACACTCAAACATTGTTGAACAATTCTTTTGAGCTGACTTTGCGCCTTTCCGTTCCATCTTTCCTTTCCTCGGGGAACAGAGTTAACTGAAAACCCAATGACTAAGTGTGATGAGCCACACCACAGACAAGTCTGGGAGACATTGAGAGCAAGTCTGGGACAAATAAAAGAGAGGAGCGAAACGATGGAGAAGTCGAAGACAAATCAGGAACTGTCCCTCACATGGAAACCAACCATTGCCCCTCGCAAGGCACCAGAAGACAAAGAGCAAATGAGAGACACTCAGAAACAAAACAGGAATGGTCCATCACAAGCACTAAAACACCAGAGAATCCAGAGATGAGAGACAAAGCAGAAATCATCCATCACAAGGCAGGACCAGAGACATTGGAAGAACAAGATGGAGGCCACGAACCCGAATGCAAACACGTTCGAAAAGCTATATATGTCTAAATGAAACTCTTGTGGGTCACTCTTGCAGGACACTCTCGTGGGCCACTCTTACGGGACACTCTTGTGGGACACTCTTCTGGGACACTCTTGTGGAAAACTCTTGTAGGACACTCTTATAGGACACTCTTGTGGGACACTCTTGTGGGACACACTTGTAGGACACTCTT